TCACAAAATGGCAAAATTCTCGATTGGCATGAAACTTTTGTTTTACCAGCTGAAAGCGAGTGATTTTTTAAAGCAATTGGCACCAATTTGAAGAAAATCATTTTAAGTTTATTCCTCGGGCGACATTCGACAGCAGCATGAGATCAAAGGCTCATTTAACAAATTAAGGTCGATTCTCACTTTCGTGCAAGGCACGTACTCGGCACAGGCAAGGCATCGACTCGGCAAAATATCTATATTATTGAATCTTATGAATTTTTGGGGTGTAATTCACACTATGCGAGCAACGACTCGGCAAGCTACGGCCTTTGCACGCGGTGTTCTTCTGAAACAATATTTGCCGGGCATGTACCGTGCACGTTCCGACAAGTGTGAATACAATCTGTGCAGGTCACCGACTTTAGTTCAGTTTTCATAGTACAAGAAAGGTTGAAGGGTCAGCAAAGGAACACTTTTTCAGCGGAACAAGATGAGATGCTGATTGAATGTGTCCGTGAGAATGATTTCGGTCATAAAAGATACTTCTTATGCATTTTATATACACAAAAACGTATTTTTATTTTTCTGCAATATGTACTTTCTTGTTCTTCATCATCTAATATTAGACCTATTTTAATTAACGTGGAAGTTTCGAACATTTCCACAGTTGAAACTCACGTAGAAACTGCTTACCTGCGGCAAGCGTGTCGCAGTGTGAATTGAACTCAAAAAACTTTGCCCGTGCCGAGTATGTGCCGTGCCGTTGCCGGGCCGGTTCTTTGCACGAAAGTGAGAATCGGCCTTTAAGGTAGGTAACTGACAAATACTATAAACATAAGTATCTGACATTTGTCAATAGGAAACAGGCCGTTCCTATGTTATTTTATAAAATTGCCGCAACAAAGCGTGACACCTGTTTTTAATTAACAAGATAACAATATATCCAACGAACACCTGGTACTTTCAATTTCGATAACATTTCTCTATTCAACTGGAATATATGACCAATCAGAATGCGATAAACAGTTCAGGTAAGGCTTGTTTGTTATCTTTTAGTATTAGTCGTATATTTGATGGCAAACGTTATGCAGTGCGTGGATTTTTTTGAGCGTTTTCGTAACTTTGCGAGAAGAACCCTTATTCAAATTAGCAGAGTAAGTGAAATTATTATTAAGGTTAAATAAATCCAAAATGTATGATGCATTTCTAATTTCTGGTCCTTTTGTCGTAGTATCCCAAATCTATTGGATTAACTTTTTGGGGAAAGTATAGCAGGAATTTTAGTGTGTCGTAGTATTTTTGCATAGGTATATACTTATTCTGAGATGCATTATTTATTAGAATGTATTATTTTCTACAAATTTCAATTACAAGAACCATTTTGAATTGCGCAATATGCGTTTCTCTCAAAAGCCCTAAAAGGAATTGCAGTATATTTAGGAATAACGCTACGTTGTGTGCACTGCAAGCAAAAGATCTGTGTTTTAGGACAATTAAAATCTTTTTGAAGATGAGTCAGTTCAAGATCGTGACTAATAATCTGTAAATGCACATGTAATACAAACATTACGGCAGTGGTTGTTCTCGTACCTACCAGTCTAGGTCCCTACTCGATAACTCTTCCTTTTTACATCATCTCCTACATTTTTGTTAAAAGAAATACCGTTTATATATTTGATGCACCATAGAAAATTACCTTCTACATAATTGTAGTGAATTCGGTGCCTAACATTAAAGAGAATTCGGCTATATCTACATAGCAATACTCAATTGTGGGGGTTGTAATTTATGGTGTAGTTCAAAAATTTTTCTTTCTTTGGTAGATTATGTGTATCTACAAACAACGCTATAAATCCCACCTAAAGATAGAATCCCTTTTCGTTTTAAAATTTTGCAATTTCTAATCAAATTCGCTCGCACCTACATAATAATAATCTCAATTGTGAGGGTTGTAATTTTTGTTGTAGATCAAATACTTTTGTTTCATTGATTACGTGTGCGGGACTCACAAACAACCCTACAGTTGATATCCAAACATATAATCTCATTCGGGTATAAAATTTGACAATTCCCAATAAAAATCGCTCGTAGCTACATGATACTCAACTTCTGGGGTGGAAACTTTAGCTATACATAAAAAAATGTTTATTTTTTAAATAGATTATGTGCACATGACCTGCCAACAACGTTACAATGAACACCTAAACATAAAATCCATTTCCGTTTTAACATTTCGTGATTTTAAAGAGAATTCGCTTTTACTTACGTAGCAATACTCAATTGCAATTTCTTTGATAGATTATGTGTGCAGGCCTTACGACCCTACAATTGACTCTTAAGTATAAAATCCCTTTCTTTTATAAAACTTTGTAGCCTTTTAAAGGGAATTCGCTATTAATACCTACACACCAATACTCAATTGCGGGGGTTGTATTTTATTGTGTACATCAATTTTTTTGTTTCTTTGATAGAATATGTGTAAAACACCTACAAACAACCCTACAAATGCCATCTAAAGATAAAAACCTTTTCCGTTTTAAAATTTCGTAATTTTTAAAAGAATTCACTCGTATACCTACATAATAATACCCAATTGCGGGGGTAGTAATTTTTGTTGTACATCAAATACTTTTGTTTCGTTGATAGGTTATGTATGCAGGAACTACAAGCCGCACCCTACAATATACAAGCTCAATATATAATCTTATTCGGGTTTAAAATTTCACAGATTGCAATAAAAATCGCTCATAGCTACATAGTGATACTCAATTTCTGGGGTTGAAATTTTGGCTATACATCAAAAAATTTTATTTTTTAGATGATTATGTCCGCAGGACCTGCAAACAATGCCACAATCGACAGCAAAATATAAAATCCGTGTCCATTTTCAAGTTTCGTAATTTTTAAGAGAATTAGCTTCTACCTACATACCTATAGCAATACTCAATTATGGAGGTTGTAATTTTTGTTGTACATCAAAAATTTTTGTTTCCTTGATAGTGTGTGCAGGACTTACAAGCAACCCTGAAATTGAGACCTAAATATAAAATCACCCTCCTTTTTACAATTTCCTAACTTTAAAAAGAATTCGCTTTTATCTGCATAGCAACACTTCACTGCGGGGGTTGTAATTTTAGATATAAGTCAAAAATGTGTGTCTCTTAGATAGATTATGTGTGCAGACCATACAAGCAAGTGTACTCGACACATAAATATAAAATACCCTGCCTTTATAAAATTTCGTCACATTCAAGAGAATTAGTCTTTCTCTACATAGCGTTAATCAATTGTGGGTGTTGTAATTTATGGTGTACATGAAAAATTGTTGTTTCTTTGATAGATTATGTGTACGGGACTTACGAACAACCCTACAATAGTCTCCTTATTATAAAATCCCATTCCTTTATACAATTTCGTAACCTTAAAGTGATTTCGCACTTACCTGCATAGTAATACTCAATTGCCATTTTTGTGCAAGTCTTAATTAATAAATAACCCTATAATTGGCCCCTAAGTAAACATTCCTTTCCTTTCTAAAATTTCTTAAATTCTCTTTTACCTGCACCACACACTGAAGAACAGCTTACATGAAACTCTAAACTCTACCGACCAACTCCACCATGTGACCAAGTTTCTGCAAAGTGTCAATATGTACGACAGTACGACAAAATTTAGCTTTTAGCTCTTAGTATAAGTTCAAAAATCTATGGCTAATATACTTGATTGTTCCTGTTTAATTTTAATTTTAAAAAAATACCTCACTGCGGGGGTTTTAATATTAAATACTCATCAAAAGTTTATGTGTGCAGGACTTCGAAGCAACCATGAAATTGACATTAAATATAAAATCGCCTTGCCTTTTAAAATTTCGTAACCTTATAATTAGATTTCGCCTCTACCTGCATACAATACTTCTTGCGAGGGTTGTAATTTACGATATACATAAAAAGTTTGTGGTTCTTAGAAAGATTATGTGTGCGGGAGCGGAACTTACAAGGAACCCTGCAATTGGCACCTAAGTATAAATTCCGTTTCTTGTGAAAATTTCGTACATTGAAGGGGATTCGGTCTTACTTGCAAAGCAATATTCAGTTGCCGGGATTACCATTTTTGTTGTAATGATTGTCTGTGTGTTCACTCTAACCCATTTTATGTATCTAAATCACGCATTTTTTCGGTTAGCGTATGAGTAGTGAGTACCGAATTAACTATAAAGAAAGATACGAAAAGAAGTACCATTATTTAGCGCAAATACGTATAATTAACACTGTTTCTTTCTAATTGTCAGACTTTTTCTGAGCATATGCACCAATGGGGTAAATACTGCATGCGAGGCAAACGGGTCCATGAGTAAACGAAAGCTCGAACCTGCAAGTCCGGCGGTCTCTTAGTTCAGCTAAGGGGTGAAAGATACGTAGTGGGCTCACAAGACAATTTCAGAACAAAAAATTAGGTACATTATTAGAATATTCGTTTAAAATGGCATGAAAATAAAGCGTTGTACACTCAGTTTCTCTTTTGGTAAAGGGCGAAAACACAATAAGGGGACGCAGAGGTTTGTTAGTGCTCTTCCTATAGCGACGATCACTTTATAATTTACACGTAACTTATTTCGAAATACTGTAAAAGGTCCAAATTCGTTGGTGCCTACATTCCGTAAAATATAGTGTATGCGTAAATTTAAGGGTACTATTCTCATTACAGCACTTTATAATTCATTTCAAAATTTCAAAGTCAAAATTTATTATTTATGCAATAACAGTTACGTATATTGAGATTTAACCAGTGTACAATTAGCAAATCAAAATGAGTTTTTATTGAAACGACCGATTCAAAATTTAGAATGCCAGTTATATTGTAACATTAAAATTCGCACCCTGGTGAACCCTACATGAAACGAACAACTCCACAGCGGATTAGACATAGGAGTGGGTGCTTATTTTTCTTTTAACCGTATTAAGCCAGCAGTCATATCACAAAATGGTAAAATTCTCGATTGGCATGAAACTTTTTGCTTTACCAGCTGAAAGCGAGTGATTTTTTTAAAGCAATTGGCACCAATTTGAAGAAAATCATTTTAAGTTTATTCCTCGGGCGTAATTCGACAGCAGCATGAGATCAAAGGCTCATTTAACAAATTAAGGTAACTGAAAAATATTATAACCATAAGTATCTGACATTTGTCAATAGGAAACAGGCCGTTCCTATGTTATTTAATAAAATTGCCGCAACAAAGCGTGACACCTGTTTTTAATTAACAAGATAACAATATATCCAACGGACACCTGGTACTTTCAATTTCGATAACGTTTCTCTATTCAACTGGAATATATGACCAATCAGAATGCGATAAACAGTTCAGGTAAGAAAATTTGCTTGTTTGTTATCTTTTAGTATATTAGTCGTATATTTATTGGCAAACGTTGTGCAGTGCGTGGATTTTTCTGAGCGTTTTCGCAACTTTGCGAGAAGAGCCCTTATTCAAATTACCAGAGTAAGTGAAATTATTATTAAGGTTAAATATATACCAATATTTGTCAAAGTAAAATCCAATATGAATGATGCATTTCTAATTTCTGGTCCTTTTTTCGTAGTATCCCAAATCTATTGGATTAACTTTTTGGGGACAGTAGCTGGAATTTCAGTGTGTCATAGTATTTTTGCTAGGTACGTACCTATATACTTATTCTGAGATGCATGATTTTTATTAGAATGTATAATTTTCTACAAATTTCAAGTACAAGAACCATTTTGAATTGCGCAATATACGTTGGTCTCAAAAGCCCTAAAAAGAATTGCAGTATATTTAGGAATAACGCTACGATGTGTGCAGGCAAGATATCTGTGTTTTAGGACAAAAAATCTTTCTGAAGATGAGTCAGTTCAAGATCGTGACTAATAATCTGTAAATGCACATGTCGTAATACAATCATTACGGCAGTGGTTGTTCTCGTACCTATCAGTCTAGGTACCCACTCGATAACCCTTCCTTTTTACTTGATCTCCTACATTTTTGTTAAAAGAAATACCAATATATATTTGATACACCATAGAAAATTACCTTCTACATACTTGTAGTAAATTCGGTGCGTAACATTAAAGAGAATTGGGCTATATCTAGATAGCAATACTCAATTGTGGGGGTTGTAATTTATGGTGTAATTCAAAAATTTTTGTTTCTTTGGTAGATTATGTGTATCTGCAAACAACGCTATAAATCCCATTGAAAGATAAAATCTCTTTTCGTTTTAAAATTTTGCAATTTCTAATCAAATTCGCTCGCACCTCCATAATAATAATCAATTGTGGGGGTTGTAATTTTTGTTGTAGATCAAATACTTTTGTTTCATTGATTACGTGTGCGGGACTCACAAACAACCCTACAGTTGATATCCAAACATAAAATTCCATTCGGGTATAAAATTTGACAATTCTCAATAAAAATCACTCGTAGCTACATGATACTCAACTTCTGGGGTGGAAACTTTAGCTATACATAAAAAATTTTTTATTTTTTAAATAGATTACGTGCGCATGACCTGCCAACAACGCTACAATGAACACCTAAACATAAAATCCATTTCCGTTTTAACATTTCGTGATTTTAAAGAGAATTCGCTCTTACCTGAATATCAATCACTCCATTCTGGGGGTTGTAATTTTAAACAGTTTATGTTTTTTAGATAGATTATGTGTGCTGGACTTACAAGCAACCCTATAGCAGATACCTAAATATATAATCCCATTCGGGTATAAAATTTGACAATTTCATATAAAAATCGTTCGTTATAGCTACATATAGTGATACTCAATTTCTGGGGTTGAAACTTTAGCTATAGATTATGTGCGCAGGTCCTGCAAACAACCCTACAATTAACAACTAAATAAAAATTAAAATTAGGGAATTCGCTTTTACCTACACACCATTACTCAATTGCGGGGGTTGTAATTTATTGTGTACATCAACAATTTTTGTTTCTTTTGTAGATTATGTGTAAAGTGCCTACAAACCACCCTACAAATGCTACCTAAAGATAAAATTCCCTTCCGTTTTAAAATTTTGCGATTTCAATCAAATTCCTCTAAATAATGTAATAATTTTTCACCACTTTGTATTATAATCACATTATAAATGACACTTTAATTTTAAAATTAAAAAAAAAATCAAATTCGCTCGTAGCCTACATAATAATACTTAATTGCGGGAGTTGTAATTATTGTTATACATCAAATACTTTTGGTTCATTGATAGGTTATGTGTACAGGACTTACAAACAACCCTACAGTTGATACCTAACTATAAAATCCCCTTCCTTTTTACAATTTCGTGGCTTTAAAGAGGTTTCGATAGATTATGTGTGCAGGATTTACAAATAGCCCTACAATTGACATATAAGTATAAAATCCTTCCTTTTTAAAATGTGACGTTATAATGAATTCGTATTTACCTGCATTTACCTCACTGCCGGGGTTGTAATTTTAGATATACATCAAAAGTTTGTGTTTCTTAGATAGATTATGTGTGCAGGACTTATAGTGGGAGCGGCCCGTGAAAACAAACGGCATTGCGCATTAAAATTGTGCCACTTGGAACACATGTTCCCTAGACCTATTGGAGTGATTTGAGTCGCAGAGCCGGAAGTTCCGTCCCTTAGGATTGAAAATGGCGCCAATTTTCAAAATTGAGGCGAATTTCAGGAAATATCTATTTTTAGAGCGATTTTTACGTTTAGGGTGACGTTTACGAGGTTTCCGAGGGTGAAAACGACAAAAACAATATCCGAAGCTAATTTCTGTGTGGGAAGCATGATTGTATGATATCTTTAACGTTCGACAGGATTCGAAAGTTTCTTGGAAAGTTTGACCGATTTTCGTGGTTGAGGTGGCGTTTTTGAGATTCTTTTGGGTCAAGATGACCAAAAAAGACCCATTATAGGCCTTTTTCTACAATCGATATCCAAAGCAGGCATTTGCGCTCCTATTTGACAACGCAAACGTCATAATTTTCGAGTAATGTCAATTTGTCGCTTATAAGCGACAAAATAAAAAAACGCTCGCTCTCCAAATTATAAACTATAAATCAAATATGCATTGCTCAGAGTATCCAATGACAACGAGTAAATCATTTGGGCATAAGATAAAAATAATAATCTATATTTGAGTGAGAAATTTAAATTTTTGCAAATATGTGAACTGCTCGATTGTAGAAAAAAACTTGTGTGTAATTCGAGCGCAAATTGATTGTTGATTTCAAGAGATTAGCGCGGCAAATGTCTCTTTCAATCGACAAGATATCATTTTGCGCTCTTAATACACAAATAGATATTTTTTATGAATTTTTAAGTATTTTGAATAAACAGGTCGAGGTAAACTAAGTGCAAATGAAACTTATTCATTGAATTCGGTTTTTAACTAAAAATTGTTGATTATTGAAACATATTTACAAGTAAAAAGTCATGTCATCAAAGGAGAATGCCTCATCATCGCTCAGATCTCCTGTTGCAGTCGAGATATAAAAAAATATTTAGTTAAGATGATTAAAAATAAAACTCTGACAGTCATGTTTATAAAATAAACCGATACAACGAAATATCGAAGGATCCTCAGTATTACAATCACTTTTAACGACAATTTATTTTAATCTTACAAAATACGTTTTATAGTTAACAAAATTGCATCAAATTCATGTCTTGGTCATTGAGATAATGCTTTTAATCTTGTTCCCAACGATATCAGTGCAAGAAAAACTATTTTGACATGTTTTGATCAAAATCCATGTGGTTGCCAAAAATAGATCAAAATTCATGTTTTGGTCAATGAGATAATGCTCTTGGTCTTTTTCCCAACGATCTTGGTGCATAAATAACGATTTTGACGTATTTTGATCAAAATCCATGTGGACTCCGAAAGATCATTTAACATCTTTGAATCTCACATATGCGGTTATCAAATGTGCACGACATGATGCACTCTTTCAGCATCAAGATAATGCGTTAGAAAGCTTTTAAAATTCCCAATTCATGTGTAAAAAATAATTTTGGGTACATTTTGCCCTAAGACTTTCGACCTGTACCACAGAGATGAGTTATATTGAATTATTACACATCTAAAAGCCATAGGGAATAATCTAGCGAAAGTCCGAACTCGATACATGACCTAGGGAATGAAATATGTTAATTTCTATTATATTGAGCTCGCAGTTTTTCCTGTTCCCGATTCACTGGAAGCCCTATAACTTTTGTTCCTGTTGAACCAGCGTACTGAAAATCAATAGCGTCCGTCCTTAAAATCCAAAGTACCCATACACCAAATTTCAACACAGTCGGCCACTTTTAAAAAGAGTTAGAGCGCACACGGACGGACGGACGGACGGACGACAATACAAAACTATAAAGGATCTGAGGATCCTTAATAAGCATGTAGATATATACTCGGCTCCGATTTTTTGCAGTGTACTTGACAGTTAGAACACTGTAGGGTGCAGGGAAGGCTGTTTCGCAAGCATGGACACCTTATGGTCTCACAAGTTCACTTGCAGCCGCATTTCCCTAGGATTGTGAGCTTCTTTCATATTTACACCTATTTGGTCCAGTTTGGTTGCCAGTCCACTTTGCTTCGTGTCCATCCCCCAAGTTGACGGATGTTGAGGGCATTCAGTAGGATAGAAGCAGTGCCCCCACAACACATGCACTGATATCGACGCTTGGCCCCAACACCTTGACCTGACAGATATCCTTCTTTCAGTCCGAGTTCCTTCAGAAAAAAAAAACAAAATATATATGACCATTAGGACGTCAGTATCTCAAGACTGGACGAGGATGTTCTGGGTTCCATGCTCCATCATATCTTTCGCATGAAGGATGATTCGCCCGTCCGTCTCTTCTTGCGTAACTTGTATCACATCAAAAGGGAAAGCGTTCTCAATCGTAGGAAATTGCGGCTGCAAGTCAACTTGTGAGACCATGAGGTGCTCATGCTTATGAAACAACCTTCCCTGCACCCTACAGAGTTCTAACTGCAAAAATCGCAGCCGAGTATATGTACATGCTTATTATAAACATGACTGTCAGCGTTTTATTTTTAATGATTTTAACTAAATATTTTTTATAGCTCGACTGCAACAGGAGATCTGAGCGATGATGAGGCATTTCCCTTTGATGATTGATGACTTTTTACTTGTAAATACGTTTCAATAATCAACAATTTTTAATTAAAAACAGGATTCAATGAATAAGTTTCAGTTTTGCACTTAGTTAACCTCGATCTGTTTATTCAAAATACAAAAATTTTCATAAAAAAGGTCTTTAATGGGTCTTTTTTGGTAATCTTCACCCAAAAGAATCTCAGAAACACCACCTCAAC